GGCTCTGAGGAAGGCGAAATCCGCCGAAACGTCAGCTTGTGCGTAAATAAAGAAATAAAATAGCACTTCTTGCTTGCTGAACAGAAGTAGAAAAATATGTATTCGTTCTTTGATGAGCTTACACGAGGTTGACAATGATGTTTATTTTCGGCTAACGTTTCGACGTCTTCGTCTTCCTCAGAGCCGATGATCCGAGTCGATGGTCCATGCTTGTTGTTCGTCTCGACGTTGCAGCTTCGCCTTCGTGTCGAGTCAGGTCTTCTTCAGTGAGCCATCTCCTCGAATGAGGCATCCTTACTCAGTGATACCCTTTTATACACGATGCTGTTGGTGGATATAATGATAATGTCCGGTGATAACAACTTGTTTTTCTTACATACAGAAATATACAGAAATAAATATTTTACCAATTATGTAAAAACTTATGAAAAGTGCTAACGTTCAATAAGAAAAGAATTTATTACTTTCTGATAACTCGATTGCGCCAAGAAAATCGGTTGTTTGTCGGTTGCTGAACTCTTGAAGCTGGCTTGCACCATTGAGAAGTTGCAGGTGGAGAAGGTAGATTCGGAGCTTCCCGGGTATTTTTCGTTAGGAGTTAGAAATCAGCAGGATTTACAAGTTGAATTTGCAACATTAACCACCTCGATCGCCGTGCAGTTTCTTTCATGGAATTCTCTTCGACTTGGATTTCCACAAGCTGGAATCCTACCATCGCTTTTGTACTAAAACCATGACCGAGGCAGTTTACTAGCTGAGTAAACGGAAACACTATAACAAACACATAGAATTACACTCAAATAACGCTCATGAAAATGCTCAGAATGAAGCAAGGTTTTTCGATGACTGCAGTTTGATATGCGAAGAAATATAACTCGTTGGGAACATTCTAAAATCAAAGGCAGATTGGTAGAGGTGGCGAAATTTGTCAGTGGGATTGTTCGCATGGATGGACGGACGGTGTGACGGAGCACAATTGTTTCTAGTATTCATTTTATAAAGAAAAAGCATATGACAGACCTACATGCCCTCTGCCTCCTCAGTAAATACTCGGTCGTCATCAGTGTCTTTGCTTTTCATCAATTCGAGCGAGTGTAGTGCGCAATTTCAATGGTAGAGGTGAAGGGTCAGAGGATCACGATTGTCTGGTGGTGGTTTGCAAAGGCCGCACGACTACAATCTATGTCCAACGGCGGTTCGCTGAGGTGAGAAGGCTTGGGGGAACACACCAATACCTCTTTAATTTATCCCGAGGACATAAGATGGTGCCAAAAGAAGGCATGCTGACCTTAATGCTATATATAAACAGTCCTGAAGCATTTAAACATTTTCTTCGTGCAAATATGCAAGTTAGTCACCGGTGTTCCCATTTTTATCAAAATTACAGCACTTTGCCGATTTCTCCTCCAGGTTTCTTCAAGGTAATTGTTTTCTTTGTTAGCTCACTTTTGACTGACCTTCTGTAGCACGAATGGAATCAAGAGACCGTTTAGTTTTTATCATTCTCTTGACGGATTTTGCTCTTATCTGCTAAGGTGACTCTGATTTTAGAATCTTTCCAGCGAAGGATGTTTCTTTGCCTATGAAAGTGTGTTCGATGAAAAGCTCTACATAACGTCGCAGTCCTTTGAGGTATGTTGCCATTTTGTTCATGTGTTTTGCTTTGGTAAAGCTCAATAAACGAATTCGGTCACTGTTCTTCTTCGTGAACAAACACAATGTTGTTATTACAGCATTTATTAATACGCAATAGGTGACGTTTCGGCGGTTTTGATTTCTGAAGAACCTGGAAAGGTCAAATTGACGTACAATTCCAAGGCCAAGCACTTTCTTACCCTCAGCGAGCAAAACTGAATACACAACTTTTCATTCGCATAATAAATAGCTTCTTTTAAACACTCACCGTTCCGTTCTTTGTAAGTTTCTCGAATGTTTGGTGGAAATCAGCCAGCACAGACCCTGACATGGACTAGGAATATGCCTGGCTCCAGTCAAAAAAGGAATTGATTCAATCATTCTTTCAGTATCAAAACGGTCGTGGGATTCCAGCTTCTGGTAATCACACTCGAAGACAATTCCATGGAAGAAGCACCACTACGACCGTGGTATTCACTGTAATACTAGTATTTGTAAATCTTGATGATTTCTAATTCTTCCAGAACAATGGTTGGATGACACGGAATCATCGCTCTCCGCTAGCCAATCCTATAGGGTATAGATCGGTGCGACGAATTCAACAAAAGAGAAACAACAGATCTTTTCCATACAACCGAAAAATCGAAAAACCGTGAGTTTACTAGCTACACATTACATGACAACTTATAGTTATGTGGTTTCATAAGGTGTTCAACTACTTTCACCTTACCGGTGCTTCCGGTGGAGGAGGTGGAAAGAATTCTACGAGAAATAGAAAATGCACCACGCAAGACCAGCAGGAAACTGAAAAGAAAGCGCGAGAACTCAGGACAAAAAGGTAAAGGCTTTAGTAAACAATAATTATGAGAGCTGGTGATTTTAAAACGGGCGGGAAAAGTCTGGTCTTGTCTGTATTGAGTGACTCTTTTTTGTGCTGGAAATTGGTTCCCTTTTTTGCTCTATTTCATGCAATTTACTCAACTCAGTTATTGGGATTTGTTCTAGTTGCTTCCTCAGTGGTCTTGTCTTTCATCCAGTCTTTTAAAACAAATACTGTGGTCTTCCACAATTCAGCGTCTTCGCTCCCGAATTCGGTTGCTCAACATTCTACGACGACGACGACCAACCTGACACAGATGACGCCGTGCGAAGACCTGCCGGTAGTTGAGCAGTCCAGCAACCCAGCACAGCAGCCAAGCCCGCGATCAAGAAATGAAATGATTGAAGTACTCAAAGAGTATGGACTCATTGTATATGAATGAGATTGGAATTGAGCAAATTTTCATTACTCCACACTTTCTCCGATTCGGATTTCAGCCCGGATCACCTAATAAAACCCGTATACACCTCCGGTTGTTATTTGTTGTATTATTATTATTGGCACCTATTATTACTACTGTTATTAAAACCCTGTAGTGTGAATAAAACTTCGTTGAGCAATCTGAGAGGAAACAGGAAGGAAAAGATTAGACGTGGACTTCATCATTCCAACATTGCGTTAGGCGCTCTTTCCAGGTCGCTCAGCATTATACGATTATGGTGATAACCAGTTACTCACTGCGGTTACCAAGGAGGTTTTTTCATCTCATGTTTCTTTCCCAAAAACAATGGACAAATTTCCAAGAACGATTTCCTGTTAATCTCGGCATTGATAAGATAATTAAGTTTTTCGTTAATGAGCAAATGCGAAGTTGTTATAGCACTTTGTTTGCAATAGAAGACGTTTTCAGCAGTTCCGCCTCTTTCAATGCGTGAAAAGGTCAAATTAACTACAATCAATCCAGCCAAACACCTCCACATTCCCAACAGAAATTCACGAAATCGGAATTTCAACCGGACTAGAGATAAAACAGTTTCTTCGCACATTCACTGTTTCCAATGAGTCTTCCATTGAGTATTCCACGTGGAACCAACTGCACAGAGTTCACATGGATAGGAAATCTGCTTCAGTCACATTAAAATGTTAGCGTTAAACGCCATGTGAGATCACGCGCGATACTCTCTGCTGTTCATTTTTGAGTTTCTGGAATTTACCCAGAATGCCTCAAGAGTTTTTCGCTTTGAAGCCTTCGATAACTTTGCGAAGAGGATAACTTCTACTTTCGAAATCTGTCCCGTTTTGTCTTTGTGTCCTATGCACACCTACTGGAGTATTTCGTTTAACTTTAAATCTACCGGCTAGGCGTTCATTTACACAGACGCAAAGTAGTCCGCTCATTTCTCCAACGCTTCCGGCACAATACGGAGCAGATAGCACAGTGGTGGTGATGTCCGTCATCACGAGCATGGTGCCAGTTCGATTCCGCACCGGTTCAATTAAGCCTCTCATCCCTCCTAGGTCGAAAAATTGGTGCCGGATTTATACGGGAAAAACCACTCTCTGCAATTCAAGTGGGAATGCTCTTGGCCGGCTACCTCTCAGGGCTCCAGGAGGAATTGCTCGACCAGCAATTTACAGAATCCAAGATGAAATCAAAATTCTTAAGCAGCAACCGAAGGCACTTGTAAAGTTGGAAGAACCTCGTGGACAATGGATATAAGAAAGCGAATCGATTGTGAGAAGTGCTGAGATCCGCACAGTAGACGTGAAGACGAATCAAATAAAATAGAATATAATAAAATAAAAAAAGATTTGCTCCAGCACGATTTGCACGAGATCGGATAAACGGGGCTCGAATTGACGCAATTACCATCCCTGTCGCCTTGGCAATTTATGCAGTCTTTCGTTGTACTTAAATAGTCATTCAGGCTGGTCCGAACTAGTTGGCGTGTTAGAGTGCTCGGTGGCATTTCAATCACTGCTGCCAAAACTCTCCAGACTGGCCTTTTTTAAGTAACGTCTTACAACTTAGTTATTTCGTTCCCAATGAAATGCGGCATAGGTGGGAGCTTATTCTCGATAGTATTATCGTTCGGAGGCTTAGTTTCGCCTCTACGCTTATTATCCCGAGGCTATTTCGTAGCCAATGGAAAAGCCTATTTGACCCTCGCCCCGATTTTGGGCATTCTTCCCTTTGCTCTCTTCCTCTGCACCCAGTCGAGGCTGTTCAAAGTATGTTTCTTACAAGCGTCTTGTTTGTGCGTGAGGGGTAAAGAGGAGAGGAAATGAACCAGTGTTTTTATCACTTGGCTTTCGGTATCATTTGGTGATGTTGGACGCTGCTAGGACGCGGGTCAGTGGATGATCTAAGAAGATTTGGGTGTTTGCAAAATGGGTTTCAATGTGTTTAAACAACTGGGTAAGTATTAGGGAATTATATTATTCTATCTGCTGGGACATCTATGCAGCTGATGATATGTCTAACGTGTCATAATGACGGCATCGGAAGGCGCGAGATCATCACTGGGTGCTAAGTAAATGTCTTAATAAGTAACTACAAGACAGTAGATATGGTAATTTAGGATTAAATTCTTAAATAACTGATAGCTTCAAAGCTGTCTCTTTTGGCGCTTTGAATAATTCTTCGTTTAATTTTCTGTATTGAATTTAGATTCCTTCTCAAATGATATCAGATAGATGGAAACACCTTCAAGGCGCTTTTTCGTTTTCTCAACATGAAGAATTACTACATACTCTCCTCTCTTTTTACTAATAGGTAATCTAGTATCTTTTATTCTTATCTCTTTCTCGAATTTTTCCCATACCTCATTTTTGCGCTTCCCTGACGCTGAAGAAAAACGTTTTGGCGCCAAAGTGATTAAGGGCTTTGAAAGTTTGAAAAGAGAAAAAAGAGTTGTTTCTGACAAATTCGAGCACTTTCTTATTAACAACTGTAAAAGTTGTGATGATGGAAGCAAATTGCGATTTTTTAGATAAAGGGACAAAACTGTTCCAATCACTGGTCCTTGATTAAGAACAGAAACTGATTTGCCGTATTTCTTCTTATCCCTGATGAAGTTTCATCGCCATAAGTATACTAAAAAGTTCCGGCAAGCATAAAGTCTTTGAAAAACTGAAGAACATCGCGTTCCTTTATTTTTTAACTTTATCTACTCTGCTGATCCCAGAAAAGAAGCCAGTTCTGAGCAGGCCGAAGTTCTAAGTGAAAGTAAGCTTATATATAGTCAAATTCTGTGATCTCAATTGGAGACAATTTCGCAATTTTCTCATCTAGTCATTCCTTGTTTTAACTATAATGGAAATGTGGAAGTACAAAAGATAAATCAAAAAGGCTGAGCAACTGTTCCTTTTCGGTGGAAGAGAATTGAAAAAATGCGGCTCCGAAAAAGGCGATTCTGCCGAAATGTCAGCTACGGTTGTGTTGCATGTGTGTTCTTATGTGGAAGCAAACGTTTGCTGTTTAACAACCTCGCGATTCCTGAGAAAGAAAACGACGAACTTATAATACAATGCCGAGGTTAATAGGAAGTCGACTTTGGGAAAAGGGAATGCGTTCGATGCTGACCAATCTTTTAAGAGAATGATTGTGCATTCGACTCAAATTGTAGCATCGTAAAGGTGACCGAATACCTAGCCTATGCAATGACATGCCGTACTCTACTGATGCATTGTTTCCTTTCAGGCCAATTTCGTAAAAATTTGCCAAACACTGGGTAATAAAGAGCTTTGTGTCGCCATAACGTGAAACCGAGCCAAGGTGTGTATTCCATAACCGGTAACCGATACAGTACACCTCTAACCACTGCGTTACACGCATACCATTGGAAGATTGTGTTACGTCATCTATACAGCAGGCAAAGACCCGTTGCAGTTAAAGTCGTTCCAAAAGTTGCTCTCATTCTTGTGAATTTCGCACCAACTTCGATTACAACACCTATGAGGGAGTGGGTGTGGTGGAATTACTAGTCTAAAATAAAATATAATTGGAAAAAAGTTTTCACGATATGAGGGCAAATCAATGGAAATGGATTGAAATCATTGCCTGTGGTTACGAATGCGTTTAGAATATCGTAGCATCGACAGTTCAAAATAATTAACCTTAAGACGTATGGATGCTTAGTTGGGCACTTGGACGGTCCGTGTTCACTGGTTGTATGGGCCCTAACATGATCTCCACATTCGCCGGAGTTTTGCTGGCATAACTATTGTGGTTTCATGTAGTCCCTAGCTCAGCCTAGCCAAAACCTGCCCCAGGTCGTCGCTACACCAGGCAGTAGCCGCCCTTATGGATAAAGAGATTTGCCACTATGTGACTAGTTTGATACCAAGAGTGATACCTTGGTTTAGTTTACTCTTAGCTTGGCTTCGGAATGGAAACGTCGGACTTTTTTAGCATGAATGATCCTTCTTGGGGATAAACTACTGCTGGTCTGACATCGCAGTCCGCCATCCAGGAACACTTTCAGCCACGACGAGGCGGTAAACCGTTAGGAGGTAAGGCGCATGACGCAAGATAATGTTTGAAAAGATCGTCTCCATGTATAATGAAAATTTTAAAAATGAGCAGCAATCGATGTGTTAGTGCTTAGTGCTGTGTTAGTGCTATAGAGTAAAAACATTACATACAAACACATATAAGGTATTCGGATAGATCTATTTAGGTAAGTGGGAAACACATATGGCGTGGTAGTTAGAGGTTCCTTGTAATACGTACACAAGGTCCCTGGGTCGATCCCTTGCCTCTAGCTAACTAATCCTCCCACTCGCTGGCACACTGATATCATACTTGTCTTTGAGGATAAGTCCACTGATTTGTTACATCGATAGGCATTTGCAAGTAAGTTGATGCGCCAAATATGCAATTAATCACCTCTACGATGTTACTTTTTGAGTCTAGTGCGTGATCCGTTCCCTATGGGACTGATCAGTGTCGAACGTTTTAGGCTTAACTGCCTAGATAAGTCATTCTATTTTACGTCGATAGGTAACCATTCAAGAAATAGCTGCTTTAGACTAGTTCTCAGACACTTATTGTTGTTTTGATGCGGCTTACCTCGTTTTCACCGCCTCCTTACTTGCGGTGCTTTTTAGACCATTTCGACGAGGCCCGGAACCTAGCGCCGCAAATATCCATTTTTAATGGCTACAAAACTGTAGCTCGAGATAGGTGTAGAGGAAACCCAGGGCTCCCAACGGTAACTCTAGCGACAATAAGGTCCCGCTTATCTTGCCCTTCATTTCAAATGAAGTAAGTGTAGCTATCAAACGCTGTTTAAGAAGGGCCAGTCTAGAGAATTCGGTAACGATAATCGAAATATAGAAATACC